CCCTGCTTCATCTTGCTTAATAAAGCTGCTCTCTCTGACACTCCGCGTCTCATCTATTCTTTTGAGACGCCATTTCCCCATGCTCTCGCACCCACACTTATTCCAGATCAACACGCCAAGGTCACAGACTGTTGGGGTCAGAATGTTTGGAGAATGCCTAATCCAATGCTTCATTTTACAGATAGTTAAATCTGAGATAGGATTTCTCTCACGATCAGAAGTTTCTTCACTTCTCAAACGGGATAGCAGAGCCTTTGACTCCTCTTCTTTTGTATACTTTAAGCCCCACCCTCTCCTGGGGCTTTGCACTCTGGCCCCGCCCACCTCAAGGCTGGCCACACCTCCTCAGGTCTCAAGCTTCGCTCTTCCCTGTGACCTGGTTCTCTACTTTGGCTGCTACCCCTGAGCCCTTTCCCATACAGCTCAAGGTCCTAATCTTAAATTCCAACCTCTGCTTCTCAGGCCCTACCCTTCTCACTTAGAGTCGCCCCCTCGACCCCTTGGCCACGCCCCCGTGCTCTCCCGTAAGTCCCACCTCCTCGCTCTTGGTTAGAAAGCTGGGAGGTATTAAGAACTACAGTTCCCGGCAGACTCCGCGAAGGAGGTCTCGCGATTTGCGAGAAGACACGTGCGCGGAAGTAGCAAGCAGCAGCGGGCGACAGATCTGGCAAAAGAGAACTAGTGGTAAAGGGAGCTGATGGAGGGGTGGCGGAAGGGGTAGAGGGCAGGGGACGGCCGGTAGACAGAGGTGTGACTTGGAGGTCCCGGCTGGTTTTTCGCACTTCCGCTCTTGTGTTGGTCCCACAACCCCTGGCTACGTGAGGCTAGGGTTTATTAGACAGTCAGTTGTGGGGTTCAGAGGATGAACAATCAATCCTCCGAATCCAGAGATTCAGTGCCTTGTCAGTATCCATACTCAGGGGGTTGGTAGGTTCCGTATTTGGGATGCCAAAGGAGTCTATCTTTTGATTCAGGGTTCATCAGCCAGAGGTTAGTTTTAGGACTCAGTTTCAGCCTATTAGGGTTTTTGCTAAGATTTGGGATGCATTAGAAGCGGATCAGTGTTAGTTCCGTACTTGGGATCCATTCTTGGGATTGTAGTTAAGTATTTGGGGCTCACTCAGAATTTGAGGTTCAGTATTCAGGGTTCACTGTTAGGTTTAAGGGCTTAACATTGAGAGTAAGGATACAACAATTGGGAATAGGTGGCTTTAGGGTTTTGGTTTTTTGAGGTTTGGGGTCTGAGGTAGGCGTCTATTGCTGAGTTTCTGAATTTGCTGAATTTGTGGCCAGAGGGAAGTCGGTTAGGGGTCAGATTGTGGGATATGAATTTCAGAACTGGGGTGGAGTCACTGTGGGATTTGAAGGCCGTCTGGAATCTGAGCTGGGATTTGAGATGTTTGGGATTTGTGAGGTGTTGTGTCCAGGGTGGATCTATATTGACTTCGCATTTACATCTTCAGAGAGGACTAAAGGTTGCTATTCGCGGTTTGGGGTTTGGTTGGGGTGTGAGATCTGAGCCTGATTTCTCTGTTGGGATTTGAGGTTTAGGTAGTATCGCCATCATGCTCAAAGCTGTGATCCTGATTGGAGGCCCTCAAAAGGGTGAGGAGCCAGGAGAATGGGGGGAGGAGGTTGGGCTATGGTGGTTGGTAGGGTGGGGGCAGTGGGAGGCAGGAAGCTGAAATGTGCTTCTCTCTCCTCTCCCAGGGACTCGCTTCAGGCCTTTGTCTTTTGAGGTGCCCAAACCCCTATTCCCTGTGGCAGGGGTCCCTATGATTCAGCACCACATTGAAGCTTGTGCCCAGGTAACCCCATGGACTCCCCTCTCCCACCTCACCTCCTGCTCATCTCCTTCATGTTGTGTTTTCCCTTTCCCAACCATGACCTTCCCAGGAGGCATAACTTCAGAGACCACCATTTACAAATGACACCGTGAGTGGCGCCCCCTAGAGTTGTGTAGTGCAGCCGCTCTGCTGTCTTCCCTTAATCTAGTCTCTCATCTGGCCTCAGGCTCAGATTTCCCTCCTTTTTTTAAAGTGTGGAATGTGGGATCAGGCAAGAATCTTAGAGACAATTTAATGCTGTAGCAGGGGAACCTTAATAGCAAAGTGCAGAACTTAAACCCTTGCTCACTGTGGAGCTAATTTCTTTTATTGCTTTTGGTATTGGGACAGGCAAAGTTTTATTTGAATCCAGTCTCTGCCTGCTGCAAGGACTTGAGCAAATATCTCACCCTCCCTGAATCTTAGTTTCCTTATTTGTAAAACGGGGGTGATTGGACCTGCTTTTTGGGGTGGCTAAGCTTGCAATGATGTTTATAAAGTGTCTCGTAGGATGTAGGCACTTGGTATATGGTGTCCTCACTTCAAGCTCAGATTGACAGACAGTAAATATGGTGGGGGGAATGAATGGGATTATCCTTTAATGCAGCTTGGTACACAGAATCTTTCCTAGGGTGAGAACCAATTCAGTTGTGAGGGGGCAGGGGAATAATAGTATGATAAAAGATTAAAAGATCAGGGACTGAGACTTTCCAGTTTCCTCATTGTCCAGAGGAGAAAACAGGCCAAAGTGGTCAAGTGAGTGCCCAAGGGCCCCACAGCTGAGACTGTAACTGTGGTCTCTGGACTTTTGGGCTGGTAGCAGGGATCTCTCCCTCCTGTCATTCCTTCCAATCAAATTTTTTTTCTCCCAATCTCTTCTCTTGCCCTCAGGTCCCTGGGATGCAGGAGATTCTGCTCATTGGCTTCTACCAACCTGATGAGCCTCTTACCCGGTTCCTGGAAGCTGCCCAGCAGGACTTTCACCTTCCCATCAGGTGTTTGTGCACATGTACTATATGGGGGTTGGGGGGAAGTGCCCTAAGCCTCTGAGTTCTCAAGAGTGGGTTGAGTCAGCATTTGCTGGACTCGCACGCTATGAGGATTCTTATTTGGGCATCTCTGAATCCCCGAGTTTATTGGTTTTCTCTGTGGGCCTTGGGCAGGTGTACACCTGGAAGTAGAAAGAGTAGGGTGCCCAGGCTCGTGGAATCTGTCTTCTCTGATCTCACTGAGCTGGCCCTGGGGTCCCTGGGGACAGATACTTGCAGGAATTTGCCCCTCTGGGCACAGGTGGTGGTCTCTACCATTTCCGGGACCAGATTCTGGCTGGAGGCCCCGAGGCCTTCTTCGTGCTCAACGCTGACGTCTGCTCCAACTTCCCCTTGAGCGCTATGCTGGATGCCCACAGACACCAGCCTCACCCTTTCTTGCTCCTTGGCACCACGGTGAGGGTGCAGAGTGGGGGATCCAGAGAGGTTTCTGGAATGCAGGGTATTGGGGAGGCAGGGGCAGCCCAGGAGGTTGGAGTGGGGTCAGGCATCAGGAGGGAGATATTCCAGAAACCCCAGTGGTGATGGCGGTGGCAGTGGAGACCCTGAGCCCTGTGGTTGCTTAGCAGTCAGGAGCAAGGGAGGGGTGGGGGCAGTTGTCAGTTCTCGCCCTTGCTGAAGACCTGTCCTTGGTGGAGCTGGGTGCCAGGTGCTATAGGGGAGGGAAATAAAGAGAGAGAAAACCGACCTTGCTGCCCTGGAGCTGGCGGGTCACTGTCTTGGTATGTCTGTCTTTCAGGCTAACAGGACACAATCCCTCAACTATGGCTGCATTGTAGAGAATCCACAGACGCATGAGGTGAGAGCAGAGACAGGGCTGGCCCGGCACTTGCTCTGTTCATCACCATTCCCCAGCTCTTCCTCCTGGAGAGGAAGCTGGAATGCTGTGGCGTGGGCCCCAGTCTTGTCAGATAGGTGGGGTATACCCTCGGTTGTTCCTTGTATCCCTTCTGGAGAGATTGATGAGAATGAAGGGGTAACAGTTAATTTCCATGGGTGTGGTGCTTCAGTAGATGTATGATCAGGGTGCTTTGGGAACATAAAAGGAGGCCTAACCAAGCTTTGCCTGGGTAGGGGTGGGGAGGGCTCCCTGGAGAAAGTGAGGTCTGAGCAGAATTAAATTTATGTAGATGAAGAAGAAGACAGAAAGGCATTGCAGGTAGAGGGAACGGCATGTGCAGAGGCCTGGAGGCAGGAAACGGCATAGCCTCTCCAGAATTATGGCGGTCAGTACATAATCAGCAAGGCAGAGGGTCTCTGTCCCTGTTTGTGACACTCCCTGCTCCTGAGCCTGGCTGACTTTCATGCCCCCCTTATATTTGTTCAAGCTTTAGTATTAAAAAACATGTAAGAACACACAGGCATATGGATTTTATTTTTAAGTTTTGTGCTAGGCACTGGCTAGGTGTAGAAGAAACAGAGCCAAAGGACAATCCTTGCTTCTCAGGAACCCTTGGACTACTGGGAGAGACAATCAAAAAACAACCATTGCAAATGACACCAGTGCTAACAGTGGGGTATGGTCAGAGGCCAGGGGTGCCCAGACTTGAGAAGCCAACTCTAGGGCAGATCAGAGTGGACTCACGCAGGAAGTGACAATGCCAGCTTGGTTTTGAAGGCTGAGGTTTCCAGATGAAGAGGTGGGAACAGGCATTCCAGGCATAGGCGTGCAATAGCATGGAGCTGGGTTCTGGGAGCACGAGGAGGTAGGGAGGGGAAAGGCATGTCGTTCGGACTTATCTTGAAGGTGAAGACCAGTAGCATGCAGCCTGCATTTTAGGAAGACCACTCTGGCAGCTGGGAGGACCTGGAGATCAGAGGCTCTTAGGAGGCGGTGGCAGTGGCGTCTCCTCCACTGAACCCAGCCCACT